ATAGTTGTTCAAACAGAGCAAGGGAATACTGAATGGTTTAAACATGCAAGGTGTGCAACTGAGTTGTATCTTTTCACCACACATATTCAATCTGTGTGTTGAGTAAATAATCCAAGAAGCTGAATTTATGAGGAAGAATGTGGCGTCAGTATTGGAGGGACACTCATTAGCAATCTGTGATATGCATATGATACAACCTTGCACACTGGAACCAAGAAAACTTAAAATATTTACTGATGAAGATCAGTAAGAAAATACTGATAAGCCTTCAATATGGATTGCACCTAAATTTAAATAAAACAAAGATCCTTACAACTGGACCAATAAATAACATCATAATAAACAGAGAAAAGATTGAAGTTGTCAAAGACTTCATTTTGCTTGGATCTAGAAATCTCCATGGTCAAGAAATCGATGGTATTGTGTCGGTCAAATCTACTGCAAAGACCTCTTTAAAGTATTCAAGAGCAAAGATGCCAGTTTGAGGACTAAGGTGCACCTGTCCCAAACATGGTATTTTTAGTCACCTCATATGGAGTCCTGGTGTGGCTCTGTAAGAGAAGCACTGGACTGTTAACCAGAAGGCCAACTGCTCAAACCCAGCCATGAGTTGCATCACTATGAGTTAAATGACTCTAAGGCATTTAACAACAACAACATATTGATGTGAAAGTTGGGCAATGAATAAGGAAGACCATAGAAGAACCAATGCATTTAAATTATTGTGTTGGAGACGAATCTTGAAAGTACCATCAATTGCCAGAAGAACAAACAGATCTGTCTTGAAAGAAATGCCGCCAGAATGCTCCTTTGAAGCCAGGATGGTGACACTTCACCATACTGTGGACATGTTATCAAGAGGGACCAATCCCCGATTAGGACATCATGGTTGGTAAAATGGAGGGTCAAATAAAAAGAGGAAGACTCCAAAGAGATGGATTGACACAGTGGCAAATGCAATGAGCTCAAGTGTAGCAACAATTATTAGGATGGCTTGGAACCAGTTCAAAGGCACCTAACAACCTCCTCTGGTTAGTATTCTGAAGATAAAATTTAGAAAGTCTTTTGATTACACTTTTGGAACTTATCACCTAATGGGGAAGAAAGATTAATATAAATTATACTCATGCATAAGAAAATACAGGTAGTAATAAGTATAAAGGAATTCTGGTATGGTGCTGTGGGTTAATGTGCCAGACTGCAAAACTGTTTGAACTGCAAGGTTGGCAGTTCAAGCTTGCCAGCTGCTCCTTGGAAATCCTATTCAGGGTTGCTATGGGTCAAAACTGACACGATGGCACTTAACAACAACAATAAGTGTAAAGATGAAAATAAAGCAATTCTATGTTAGTACCTGAGGAGGAGGCTACTTTAGATTGAATGTTCAAACAAAGATTCCTGAGATCCCTGGAGATTTTGATCCAGTAGATTTGATGTGGGACTAAGAATAAGTATTATTAATAAGCAAATGCAGGAAGTTTGAGGAGCATTGAATAAAAGTTAGGGCATGAAGTCAGAAGACCTATTTCCATTATCTTTTATCTTTCCAATCCATTATCGTTCTAGTCCATTTTTCCACAAACTTTTTGAAACCCCCTTGTGTGACCCTGGGAAGTAGTTGAACTACTTTGAGCCTCAGTTTTTTAACCTTGGAAATTAGAATAATAATACTCCTGCTCTCAGAAGGTTGTTAAAAGAGTTAAATAAGACAAAACATATAAACTACCTGGCACATTACCAGTTACCATTGAGTTGGATCAATTCTGACTCTTGGTGATCCCACGTGTGTCAGAGTAGAACCATGTTCCATAGCATTTTTAATGATTGATTTCTTTGAAGTAGATGCCCAAGCCTTTCTTCTAAGGTACCTCCTGGTGGACTCAAGCCTCTAACCTTTCAGTTAGCAGTTGAATGTATCATGTGCATCATCCAGGAACTCTATCAGGCATGCTACCATTGCTGGTAAGTGCTGTCAAATTGGTTCTGACTTTTAGCAACTGTGTTCAGGGTTTCCAAGGAGCAGCTTGGTGGGTTTTAACCACTGATCTTGTGATTAGCAGTCATATGCTTATTCTAGTGCACCACACCAGAACTCCTTACCTGGCACATAATAAATATCTAATGAAAGATGGTTACTACTTGCAATGATAAATCCATCTTTTTCTAGTTGTAGGCTTTTGTCCGATGACTTTAAAGACCAATCCAACATGGCCTCTCAGTTAACCTTTTTCCTAATGAAACTCTTCCTCTTGAAAAACAAATTCCCACAAGACCTTCTCATGAACAAGCAGATCAGAGTCCTATGGGTCTCTAATTTAAACAGGTTTGAAATTTGGAAGGACTGTAGCCTAATTTCCTAATATCAGATGGGAAGCGGGTTAGCTACCTTTCTAACTCTCAGGCGAGGACTTTCTAAAAGACTCACCTTATGGGACCAGCTGGAACATTCTCCCAGAAGGCCCCACCAGCAGCAACAAGGACTTCTGAGACCCCAGCATGACACACTGGGAGAGGGAGCCACCCCTTCAGATTTACAAACTGCGCTGGCACGTGAAGAAGAAAAAAAAATCAGGCAGGAAACAGCCTTTTCAACAAGCGAAGAAACCGTTAGAATCCACCTCTTTGCCTTGATGCCAATGCTCTGTCGGCCCCACCCAGCCTGCACTATCAAGGATACTCCCTCCTATCAGAAAGCCCTGGGGGCCTTTTCCAAGTTTATCAGGGACCTTGTGGAAACATTTCTCTAACTGAAGATAAAGGCCTTTATTCCCTCTCTCTCCTTTCTACTTCTCGCAAACTAAGCAGAAGAGTTCCCTCTTTGAGGAGCCGCGGTTCTGAAACAAAGATATTATTCAGCCTGGATTTGAAGTAACTGGTGGAAAAGCAGTTCAGGTAGGTTTCATTCATTCATCATTCATTCATTCAACAAATATTTATTGCGTGCTTACAACATGTTGATAGTCTTGTTAAGACTCCATTCTGGCAGGATAGATAGGAATTTGCAGTTTCTGGAGGAGCTAGAGACTAGTTGTTGTTGTTGTTAAGTGCCGTTGAGTTGGTTCCAACCCATAGTGATCCTGCACTGGGTTTCAAGGCAGTAAATCTTTATGGGAGCAGAAAGCCTCATCTTTCTCCAGCAGAGCATCTGGCAGTTTCGAACTGCTGACCTTGCGGGTTCACAGCCTGATTCATAACCACTATGCTACCAGAGCTTCTTAGAGACTAGTTAGCATTTAGAAAATGTAGAATTACAAATTGTGGTCTAAACTTTGGGTGCAAGTATAGGAGTTCTGATCTGGTAATAGGGTCAGGAGAGACTTCCCCTAAGGAAGGTGACAATTATGCAGAGAAATACTATGTGTGTAGCAAGAAATCTTGTAGATTTCTTGCCCTCCGAGTGATGATGTCTCCTGGCCTGGAAGCCTGGCTGACATTACAGGGCAATTCTATTTCCAAGACCAAGTCACAATTGTTCAACACTGGTGACGGTTAGAATGGAAATGACTTATTGGAGTGATTGAGAAGGCAGCATAAACCTGCCAGGACCTCTTTCAAGATTCAGTGCATTTTGTCAGGTAAAAGATATTTCCAGATGGAGGGCCATGCAGGAAATACGAATGGGATAGTTTTTAAATAGCTCTTACTTTGCAAGATCTGACCCAAGGTGTCTTTCTGCAATATGATGGGAAACATGAGAGGAGGCAAGCTGGTCCACAGACAGCCCCTAGGCCTTTGGCTCTGCTCAGGAGACGCCCTCTCCCACTGTCTCTACCCTCTAAATTGGAGCCTATGCCTGTTCTATCCAACTCCGGGATGCAGAGGAGAGGACAGGTACAAGAACATTGAGTTCCTTTGAGAAAGTAGCTGTACATCATGACAAACTGCAGCCTGTTTTCTGTCCCTGGTGCTAAGTGGGCTCCTGCCAAGAAGGTTATCAGCAAGTCAGGGTCTAGTACCACTCACAAAGGGCCAACAAGGCAGACAGGGGTTGCCATTGCTTGTCTTGGAACTCACAGGTCTGGTTTTACCATATTTACCTGATCCACAGATGAACCTGAGTCATGGGTAAAATTATGCATGTGGGCATGGAGGTCTGTCTGAGACACACTCTTCAGTTTTTCCAGGGTTTTAAAGAGGTCTGAAACCAACACTGGAGGCACACCAACATGGGGTCTCATGTAGGGAGACTTTCTTCATGAATATAAAGACCTCCCACACAGGTCAACATGAATCTAGGGATTGTGTTGATTAATCCTGCAACTGATGGCATGGATTTGACATTTGAAGGTTTCAGTTCAAAGGTAATTACTGAGCATTCCAGTTGTCCCCAGGCTTCCATAACAAAATACAACAAAATGTTGCTGCTAGGTACCATTGAGTCAGAACCAACTCATAGCGACCCTATGCACAACAGAACAAAACACTGCCCGGTCCTGGGCCAACCTCACAATTGTTACGTTTTTGCCCATCATTGCTGCCACTTGGCCAATCCATCTCGTTAGGGGTCTTCCTCTTTTTCTCTGACCCTCCACTTTACCAAACATGATATCCTTCTCTAGTGACTGCTCCCTCCTGACAATGTGTCCGAAGTACAAAAGATGGTAACTAAATGAATGGCTTTAAAGACAGAAATTTATTTTCTCCTAGTTCTGGGATCTAGAGGTCCAAAATAGGTTCTCAGTCATGTGGATTCCTCCTGAGGTCTTTGAGAGAGAAACTATTCCATGCCTCTCTCCAGGTTCTGGTGGCTGCCGGCACTCCTTGGTTTGTAGACCTAGCTTCATATGCTCTCTTTCCCAGGTTTGACTGTGTTTCTGGATCTCTTTCTCTTTTATAAGCCCCCACTCAGGAGGAATTAAGGAGTTCTGGTAGTGTAGTGGTTACAAATCGGGCTGTGAATCTTAAGGTCAGCAGTTCAACACTACCAGCTGTTCCGTGGGAGAAAGATGAGGCTTTCTGCTCCCGTAAAGATTTACAGCCTCGGAAACCCTGTACAGGGTTGCTATGAGTCGGAACCGACTTCACAGCACATAACAATAACAACTCAGGAGGAATTAGGGTCAAGATCCACCCTATTCCAATATGACTTTGGTAATTTAACTGACATCTACCAAGAAAAGTCCAATTTCCCCAAACAAGATCACGTTCACTGGTGCATGGGTTAGGACTTCAACAGGTCTTTTGGGGAACATGATTCCATCAATAACACTGAGTGTCTCTGGATGTATATCAGTGCTGTGGGAGCTAATGAAGGCACAAGCTGGGACCCATCTAAAAACGCATGGCATTTTTTTCGGTGATGAGCTGATGTGATGATGAGATGCACACACATGAAATCATTGCACACAGGAGCCCAATGAGGCAGCTAACCAGGGCATAGAGCCAGGAGCTCTGCCAGCTTAGAAAGACAGCAGCCACCATCAGCCTCAGTGGGCAAAGAAACCTTCAGGGTAAAGATGTTGCTAAAGCCATGTACAGTTGATGGGCAGGATCTGGTAGAGAGGAGTGTGGGGAAGATTTTGTACTAACGGAACTCATCATTGCCATTTATTGAGCATTTATTATGTGCCAGGCACTGTGCTCTCTCTGCTGCATACATTCTCACAGTTATTCCTCCTAACCCTATGTTTTTTATCAGTCCTGTTTATCATTTTATCATTGCCAGCACTGAAGCTCAGAGATTTGCCTAAGATGGCCTGATAGTAGTTGTGAAGCAGAGACTGGAAACCAGGTTTATTTATCTTTGAAGCCTCTATTCTTAAAAACTTAACCGTTCTAGCACCAAACTTTTGAAACATAAAACAAGCTGATATTCCACATAGAATAAGAGAGCAAAAAGAAATGGGCACAGCCAGTCAGCTTGAGACCAGGAGAGCAACTGAATGGGAAGAGTCAGGCTTTAGAGTTGTGAAATATAAAGTCAGAATGGACAAGATTACAGGTGCCTTTAATGGAAACTTGGGACGTTTGGTATTGATCTAATAGAATGACAGGTAAGCTTCAGTATTAACCTTCCAGTCTATCTCATTCCTCTATTTTGTTGTTGTTAAGTGCTGTCGAACTGGTTCTGACCCATAGCGATCCTGTATAGGGTTTCCAAGGAGCAGCTGGTGAGCTTGAACCTCCAATCTTGTGGTTCAAATCAACTTTGCAGTGCAGCGCATTAACCCACAGCACCATATGTGAAAATGAAGGTCTGGAGAGGCTGAGCAACTTGCCCACACTCACAGGCAACAGGGAGCTATTGAAAATTCCTGAGCAGAGTGGTAACAGTGAAGAAAAGAGTGTTCCAGCTCTGTTAGCTTGGCAGGAAGTATATGAAGGGCAGCTGAAAGGAAGTTGAGAAAACTGGCCCAGAAAAGAAATGAGCTTCTTCCTTGTATTTTGCTGAAGAACACAAGGTTGTTTGTGCTCAGCTATGAATATTTCTAAGGAGTATCTAGGCAAGATTCTAGCTCTAGCCTTCCCAGTGATGTCTGTAGCTTAGGCAGATACGGAGACAGAGACAGAGAATAGGAAGAAGTATCATCAGAAGATCAGAATCACTTTCCACTGCCAGGTGCAATGTCCTTAGCTAGGCATCAATGTGGAAAACACAGCTTCCCAAGCCAAGACCAGGCTTCACTCCCTCTCCTTCCTCCAACAGAAACCCTGTCTAGGATGCAGTGGGTCAGACTAGAAGCCCCTGACTCTGAGAATCTGGTGGCCAGGATGGGCTCCTGACACCATCTCCTTAGAGTACCTTCCTGACCATGACACCGGGTCGGGCTTCTGTGATTTGAACCCACCTGCCCCATGGGGGTCACCAGAGCAGGTAAGAGAAGGGAGGAGTTCCCCCACGTCAGGCAAGGAGGCTGAGTCCACCCTGTTTAGACTCAGTCCTCAGTGAGGCAGAACAACAGCCATCTGCCTCTGTCCAGCCTAGGAGAGCCTGCCCTGCTGACGATTCTCCTCTGACGTTCTCTTTGCTTAATGAATTCTAAAAATAGCTGCCATCCACTGAATGCTGACTTCATGCTCATCACTGTGCTCAATTTTTTGCATGCATGATCTCATTTTATTCCCACAATCCTGTGAGGGAGTATTATTATCCTCATTTTATACATGATAGAATCAAGGCTCAGAACTGTTAAATAATTGGCCTAAAACCACATTGTTGTTGTTGTTGTTATGTGCCGTGGAGTCGGTTCTAACTCATAGCGATCCTGTACAGAGTTTCCGAGGCTGTAAATCTTTATGGGAGCAGAAAGCCTCATCTTTTTCCTGCGGAACAGCTGGTAGCTTAGAATTGCTGACCTTGAGGTTCGCAGCCCGATTGGTAACCACTACACTACTAGAGCTCCTTTAAAACCACATAGAGTGGTGCAAACTGTTTAATGCACTTGGCTGCTAACCAGAAGGTTGGAAGTGCAAGTCTACACTGAGGAGCCTCGGAAGAAGAGCCTGATTATCTACTGCCAACAAATCAGCCATTGAAAACCCTATAGAGTAGAGTTCTATTCTGACACAGGAATCAGGGGTTGACTTGACTGGATTCAAACATAAGCCTGTCTGTCTCCAAAGCCCTAGGCTTCACCTATATGATTAGCCCACTGCAGGTATGGCTGTTTGTGTAAGAGGAGGTTCTCATTGTCTCCTGATACCACCCATAGTTGAAGTTCCTTGGAACCAAGAACCTGACTTCTTTCCCAAATAAAAATCCTAGGACAAAATCTGAATGGTATCTGAGCCCTTATTCTTCTCCCCAAACTGATGTTCAATCAAAGCCAGTGGCCATCAAGCTGTTTCACAAGTTTTACCCAAAGTAGTACAGGCAGGCTTTGGCCAATAGGGGCAAGACTGCCATTTCTACATTCATTCTCTCCACAGATATTTCTTGGCATGCCGAATCCTTGAATGGCTCTGTAGAATTGGCACTGGCCTGCTAACTGCAAGGTCAGCTGTCCAAATCCACCAGCTGCTCCCTAGAAACCCCATATAGAGTTGCTGTGAGTTGGAACCAACTCAACAGCACTTTACAACAGCAACAGTCACATTCTAGGTGTGGAGGACACCACTGGGAATAAGTCAGAAAGAGTTTCTGCCTTCAGGGGGTTGCAATTTTGCTCTGAGTTTAAAATGGGCACAACAGCACTTAACAACAATAAAGTTGAAGTAGCAATGAGCTCTGGTAGCGTAGTGGTTACGAATCGGGCTGCAAACCTTAAGGTCAGCAGTTCGAAACTACCAGCCGCTCCGCGGGAGAAAGATGAGGCTTTCTACTCCCGTAAAGATTTACACCCTCGGAAACCCTGTACAGGGTCGCTATGGGTCGGACCCGACTTGATGGCACTTAACAACAACAACAACAGCAATGATGCGGGGAAGAAAAGTAAAGCAGGGTAAGGAATGGAGAGTAATGGAAGTGGGTTTTCAAAGGCCTGTCAGAGGGTGAAACATAGCAACAGAAACTTGAATCAAGTACATAGATCATCCCAGGTAGAGGAGCGGGCAAGTGCAGAAGTGCTCAGATAGTCTTTGTTCTAAAGGAATAAAAGGAAGGCCAGAATGGTTTGAGAACTTGAGGGGGCATGATGGAGAGAGGCCCAAGGGATAACAGAGGTAAGATAGTGTCTTCTGGGCCTAAGTAAGGAGTTAGGTTTTCAAATGTGCTATTCTGGAATTCTGGTGTGGCTGTGGGTTAGTGTGCTGGAATGCAAAGTTGGTTTGAACCAGAAGGTTGGCGGTTCAAGCTCACCAATTGCTCCTCGTAAACCCTATACAGGATGGCTCTGGGTTGGAACCGACTCAATGTCACTTAACAGTAACAAGGATGGGCTCCTAGGCACTGTAGTGTGCAGTTCAGGTGGGCTGCCTCTCAACAACTATAGAGGGAAGACAACTGCAGGAACAAAGAGCTCAAAGAGAACTCAGTGAATCAGCTCTCCCAGGCCTGACTCCCTCCTTGAACTCAGAGCACCAAATAAGTCCAAGGTCCATGGGTGCGTTTCCCAGGGCTGCTGTAACAAAGTACCATAAGCTCAGTGGCTTAAGACAACAGAAATTTGTTCTCTGAAAGTTATGGAGGCCAACAGTGTAAACTCACAGTTAGTTCAGCAAGGCTGTTTCCTTTTGGAGGTTCTGAGAGTCCGCTCCATGCCTCTCTCCTAGCTTCAGGTGGTTTCCTGCAGTCTTTTGCTTGTAGATGCAACACTCCAATCTCTGCCGCTGTCATCACATGACTTTCTTCCCTGTCTGTCTCTCTCTGTGTCTCTTTTCTTATTATAAGGACACCATCATATTGGATTAGGACCCAACCTGC